TTGGACATTTTGCAAAACAAATCAGAAGCTGTTTACTGCATTGTGTAACCAAATCCTTCGAGGTTCATTACCAGAGCTAAGTACAGAGGGTACATCACTCCAGAGGGCTAAGAGTGACACATCTTTCCTATCAACACTTCGTCAACACAGAAGTCATTAACCTAATGAGCAAAGTTAAAGAAAGAAACAGTAACCAAGCGTCGGTAGCCATGACGCAATGTTAGTAACAAAGTTCAGTGGGAGAAGAAATCCTCTGATGGGTGACGACATGCTCACAGCCAAGTAATCAGATGCTGGTTAGGAGTTAATTTGTATAGTTTTCCCAAAGTTTCTGAGTTACAAAACAAATAAACTGCCTTTTAGCATTAGATTTATTAAAAACTGGCTTGCATTAGCCACACATCTTTCTATAAAACAATATGCAATATATGATAGTTAAAAAGCAGACATAAAACAGCAACAACATATTAAATGATTCATACAAATAAGGACTTTTTTTAATGTAACTATAGTTGGCAGAGTATTTAAAATACTTTGAATAAACGTTCTTATTCAACATGTGAAGTTTGACACTGTATCAGCTTTGTGGTACATCCAGTATTTTGCACATGTATCTATAGTTCGAGGATTAACTTTAATTTATCTATTTGATAAATTCATTTTGTTAGCATTGATATTTTGTGATATAATATAAAAACATATTTGTCACCACACAAGTACAAATACAGTGGATTTCTGTGAGAGTAGGGTGCATTATACAGTAGTCATTTGGTGGAACTTAAGGGAAATTAGCACCAAATGAGTAAAACTGTTAGTGTAGCAGTATTGCATCAACATCAATCATACTTCAAATCATTTTGCTTTCTGTGGTTTAATTAGATAGAACTGCAGCCTTGATTGGCTGTTGGTGTAGCTGGTCAAGGACCCATTCTTATTTTTAACTAATTTCTTAAACTAAGTTCTTGTCTTACTTCTCTCTTGATTGTATTGGCCAGTAGTTAACTGTGATTATATAAAAGCATGTTTGCACACGGTTGCGGTACATTGTACAGAAATATACAGTAAAACTTTGAGAATTCATTATTATTGAGAATTTATTGATAAAATTATCAATCAATGATTACTTGAGGATTCATTAAATGCAAATCATGTTGGACAAAGGGAAGGCTTTCTCCACCATCAAAGTGTACTTGGCAGCTATTTCTGCCTGTCATATTGGTTTTGAGGGGAGGGCTGTAGGCCAGCATCCCTTGGTCTGCCGCTTCATGAAGGGTGCGCGCCGTAAACTCCCAGTCTCTAAACCACTGGTCCCATCCTGGGACCTTGCCACCGTGTTGGATGCTCTTTCGGCTCCACCTTTTGAACCACTCGAACAAGTGGACTTGAAAATGGTGGCTTTAAAGACAGCTTTGTTGTTGTCTCTCGCTTCAGCTAAACGAGTAGGTGAAATTCATGCTATTTCAGTACACCAAGCGTGTACAAAGTTCTTTTTGGGGAATGTAAGGGTGACTTTACATCCTAACCCTGCCTTTATACCTAAGGTGTTAGGGTCATACTCCCCAATTGATCTGGTGTCCTTCTATCCCCCGCCATTCTCCTCAGAGGAGCATCAGCGGTTACATATGTTGTGTCCGGTGCGTGCTTTACGCATCTACATTGACAGAACCAAAGGCTGTAGGAAAAGTGACCAGCTCTTTGTGTCTTGGGCAAAGAACCACTTGGGGAAGCCAGTCTCAAAGCAACAGCTCTCTCACTGGATTGCAGGGGCTATTGCTTTAGCCTATAGCTCTAAGGGGTTGCAGCCACCAGAGGGGCTGCGTGCTCATTCTACCAGGGGTCTTTCTACCTCATGGGCCCTTTTCAGAGGGATCTCTATTCAGGAGATTTGCACTGCTGCAAGTTGGGCCTCGCCACACACCTTCGCCAGGTTCTACAGGCTTGATGTTACAGCTTCTCCATTAGCCCATTCGGTGCTTAGTGTGGTTAAACCGAGGTAAGGCTGATTTAAGGACAGTTGGTTCTCCAGTAACATCTGCCCAGCAATCCGGGAGTCAGTATTTTCCCAATGTGAGACACGAAACGAATGCTATGAAAGAGAACTTTAGGTTACTTGCGTAACCCCGGTTCTCTGAGTAGCATTCGTGAGTGTCTCACCAGAACACCCTCCTTGCTCATTCGTAGCGAGAAGAGGTGCGCATTTTTGAATGACTGGCAGCGTAGTGTCAAGCCCTTTTATAAGGGGAGGGCCTCCACCCTCCTTGACACTGACATGCTTAGATCCTGGCTGGCAGAATGCAATAGGAGCTTCTGATGAGGTCACGCCAAGTATTTTAGCTTGTTCAAATCAGGCACATTCATTGATATTTAGCAAGATTACATTATCTGCTTCTTCTGCATTAATAAATATGACAATGTTCCAATAAAACGTTAATGGAGACAATGGAATATTATAAGTTGGAAATTAACTGTGTAGAATATTTGTGAGGTATCTACATGGTCATGAAATTAAGGTGTGCAATATTGAATTTGACCACAGTGTGGAGGCAAAGTATAGTTCAGCATGGCTCTGTAAGAATGATTATCAAAAGACTGATTCGATTATTTTTTACTTTTGAGGATTTATTTTAATCCACAGCACTCTTAAAGATTGTATTCATGATATTTCAAATAGTTTTCTCCATTGGAATGAAGTAGACAGGTGTGCTACTCTCTTAGGACATTGAAAGACTCTATCAAATATTGTGAATACACAACATCAACAAATTCAGCTTCATTTCAGTTA